TGTTGCACAAACTTCTTGGGAAGACAGTTTGGTGGTTCTGGGTCTTTCTGAGTAAGACTGGACGTCTGTGAACAATTGTCTTGGTTGTGCTGTTTTTCAAGTGCATCCATGAATGAGATGTCTCCTGCAATACTGTCATATTCCCCAAACATGTCATCGCTGCTCTCCTCGCCATCGCACTTCAAAGGGAAAAAAACATTCACATCAGTAATGACCATAATGGACAACTTCGAATCCAAATAAGTGTGAGTGTGTGGGGTGCGTCTATGCAAGGTGCCCTGATTTTTCATAACCCTTTTACTTCCTCTCCACAGGTGACTGAATGTTGGGAAAGCAATACAGAAAGTTAAATATGTAAAGAGTGGATTGTTATAGGTGATGGACATGCAGAGGCTTTGAAATAGAAATGTTTTCTCGACATTTATCCACTTATTCTTTATGGTTTCAGTGCGATATCTATAAGTGGATCATCCTGTACTAGACTGTGAAAAAAAAGTGTCGTCTTTTACCTCTGGCATCTCGCAGGTGTTGCCTGATGAGCCGAGCTCTTTCGCCATGACATCTGCAATAAAGACTTGCGACGGGAGCTCTTCGCGATCATCAGGAGGAACCATGAATTTCAAGTCCACACGAATGGGAATCCGTTGCCTCACTCGGATGTCTGCACGCCCACTTTGACTTTTATCCACACAGTGCACCACGACTTTGTCTTTGCTAGGTGTGAGACCCCATTTCTCTCTGCCGCGTTTCACAGAATGAGACACTTTCCAAATCAGCATTCTCACGTCTCTGCAACTCAAACATTACCAACACTGACAAGGGGCACACCACATTGTTAATTACAAATAGGAAATAAACTTCTGTTGTAAAAAATGTTTTACAGTTCCAGCAATGTTTTACTGACACACAACCATGGATTTTCCATTGATCTAAATTTCATACTACAGCTTTAACTGCCAGTCAACTATTATTTGAATATGAATAGATTCAAGCTCCTGGCGAAAAATACAGGGTATGAATTAGCTATCACCGCTAGTGTTGAGATTTAAACAGTGGTTGTCCATTGATTGGCTGCAGAAAGCACTTTAAGTTTTTTTTCCGTGGAGTATACCATTTAAATTAATCCAATATACACACATTAAATTAATGTTGACATTTGTCAATCCAGTGTTGGATGAACTCCCTTCCCACGCGGTGATGGTCATTGGTCATCACTAGACTTCACCACGCTGGTCAATGGGGGTTTGCGACAGACCTGTTCAGATCTCACTCGCCACTCGTGTTTAACGGTGCTTGGGTATAAAACTCAGGTCAGACTCAAGACTTTATTTCACCTGATATAAGGCTCATTGAGCTAAGCAGCGATTTCACAGGACGAGCAGGCATGGTGGCGGATAACAGGACATTGCAGCAGGGAATGCGCAAACAAGCGTAAACATTCTAGATTTAAGTTTAGATTTGATGTTTTCGTAACTACAGGAATCCATACTCTTTGGTTCTTTCGTAAAGTCACGTAGGTAGAAATAAATGAAAGCATAAACATATTATTTGGGTCTTTCGGTAAAGTCACGAAAGCTTTTAAGTCAAGATTTATGTGTAAACATAGAATCGGAATAGCATGAGCTATATAGCTATCTTTTTCACAGATGTCCAGTAAACAAACATTATTCGCACGAAACCTGCCAAAACTTATTGCAAACAGGACAAACAATAAATTGTTGTTTTTCTACAAATCGAAACCAGTCCCCCAAAAAGCTCGCTGCTGTGTTCCCAGCTAAGAGCAGTAACTGTTGCAGAGAGAATGTCAATACAAACACAACTCAACGCTGGTTTATATAATTTACGACTGGTTCTCGTGGAATTTCCACGAACGCCCTCAGACTGCAAGTTGAACATGAGAAGCAGTGAATCTGCAGGTAGTCCCGAGTTACGATGGTCCCGACTTACGATATTTCGATCTTACGATAGCGATACGACAAAATTGCCATCAACAACCTAACATCGTTCAAGTATGAAGACGACCGCTGCTGTTGCGATCGAAACGTCGTAGTTTTTGTTATTTTCTTTGAACCTATCTACGCGACTTTACCGAAAGAACCAAATAATATTAAGGACGCAATCCAAAAAATAATCATCATGCAGCTCTTATTCTACAACTGTACAGTACTTTGGCTGTGTCCTGTGCCGTGCGTCTAAAATTGCAAGCTTCGTTATAAACTAAGAATATTAACAAGTTAATAACAGTAAAGCCCGTCGTTACAGCGGTACTACTGCATGGTGCCCATATACAGTTTTGAGGCTTTTAAAATATACATTTAATTTGATGACCCGTGTCACTGTTTACAAATGTGACCACTGTTGTATCCCAATCTATTTAGTTATCTCCAGGTTAAACAAAACAAAATACCGCCACCATTAAGACCAAGCTCGCATCAGACAAAGCTGCAAACACAACCTAAACGCACACCCACAAGATACCAAACATTTATGCGTTATGGTGACGAGTTGCCCCTGCTTCTCGGAGGCCGAAGCCTCTACCCCGCACCCCCCCGGCTCGCCTGGAAGCCCTACCGGGGAGACGCCACCCAAGGCGGCCGCGCGCCGCCCGCTCACCGGGGGGGGGGGGGGGGCGGCACGCCGTCGTCGAGTAGTCGAATGCGGCAGCGCTCGTGACAACATTCGCCTTTCAATGCGGTTCTTATTCGTTGTGTGTGTGCGCGGGCGTCATTGCGGCGCGTTTAAATAACTAGGCGAAGGATGGCGACAAATTTCGCCTTCCAGTTGACGAGCCGTAAATTGCTCGAAAATTGTCCGTGCGTCGATGAGTTCTGTGAAGGCGTTTGAAAAGGAGCTCGGTGATTGGACGAAGTTGGCAGCCAATGGGCGCCCAGGAATCGTGCGCACAACGTGCGAGATTCTAACTACAACAAACGGACAAGGAGCTCGGTGATTGGACGAAGTTGGCAGCCAATGGGCGCCCAGGTATGGTGCGCCACAACGTGCGAGGTTCTAACTACAACAAACGACAAAGATGGAACGCGTATTCGCAACAACAACAAAAAGTCATCGGTCGCTTACAATTGAGTTGCTTGTCAAATTATGAACAGTTGGTGGTGGTGGTGTGGCAGCAACTCGAAGGCCGGAATAGAAAGTGAAAAAAACCTATACATGATTTAGCACTCAAAAGCTTCACAGATATTTAATCATTCATCGCTGCATCGCTTGTATCCTGGCCATCTCGCCGACTGAAAACATAAGCAGTGTAAACGAAACTAGGATTAATAAGAATTTTTTGGATTAGATCGTGTAAATATAAGTCGTTAAACCCGCCACCACCCGAGTTAATAAGGTTTGTCACAAACAGAACATGCAATTTGAGCACGACTTTTCGTCAGTGATTACAACTAGCATCATCAGGCGACATCCAGATTTGTGGAGAAATTCTGTTTCATTCTTAAAGAGGGGTGGAAACTGGAAATAGTCACATACCGTACCAGGCTTTGCTCCAGCTCTTTTCAGATGGGAAGTAGGAGTGGGGGCAATACTGATTTTGTGTGGAGGGCCACGATAACAGTGATTCACGAACGAGAGTGAACTTGGGTAGGGGTCTATCGGGACATGTGGTGGTACACGTTCCACCTCAGAACCGGCCGGCCTTGTTACTGCGACATATTTTTACAAAACATTTTAACATTTTGATGTTTTATTTCATGAAATGTAGTTCTTAAATTGATCAAATATGGGCGCTACAGCCTACAGGCAAGAGCCAAAAACGGTGTTAATTTAGTCACCTGTCAGAATTCAAAGCTCAGTTCAGCTGTCGGTCATTTGTGTGGATGTTAATATGCGATGGCATTTAAAGGATTTGTTAGTTACATCAACATTAAAGGACCTTTTTAGACTGTTTAAACTGACAAAACAGGCAGGGCGTCAGAAGTAACTTTAATCCGTATTCCAGTCATGGCAAGAGGCGATTGAAATTAAAAACAGCAGCAGCTTTGGGCACGCTGAAAGCAACGGTGAAAAAGGTCCAACTGGAAAAAATCACAAACAGTAGAAATGTACCACGAGCAATACAGTACAAAAAAATTACAACATGCAAATCCGATTACGTGTTCGTTTATTTGCAGGATTATGCGTCAATACACGTTTACACAAAGCGGTGAAACGTATTGCGAGACATTTATCAAGTCCGCGTTTAAAATATTGTAAACGGCTACTCCAAATGACGTGAGATGTGGTGATATGCATCATTGTATGCATTAATTTGGCAATGGCTACGTCTCCATAAAAATGTTTAGCTTATCGATTTAAACAATCCACAAGGTTTTAAATTAAATCTCTACAAATCAAACGCCCACTAATGCAACTCCAATTTGTGGAACATGTAAACAATGGGCACTGCCAAATGAAGATATTAAATTAAGTGATGGTCTTGTTTTATGCAGCTTTATACTCTTTACAACTACCAGTTTGAAGGCAATGTAAAGCTTCAGATTTTCTCCCAAAATTGTTTACAAAAACTGCCCGCTTCAAAGTTGTCCAGGCTTGCACACAAGTTGCATTCTAATCTGTCCACAAAATCTTGTTTCTGTTGATGTTCATAACTTTATATTTTCATAAGCAACATTTTCGCACGCATTACCAATGTTTAATAATACATGCAAGTGCAACGGATGCACTCCAAATGCTTATTGCTTACTTTAATGGAGACATAACCAACGTATCTACGTCGCATTGAAATCAATATGACCACCATTAGCCACCAAACAGCAAGCCAAGAATACACATGAACAACCATTTATGCATATTTAATTTCCCTCTATATAGTTTGTGCACTGTTGCAAAAGTCAATCTTATACAGGGTGACAGACAAAAACATTTTTTTCAGATTACTCACATTTTGAGCAAAACATTAGTGCTATATAGTAACTTATCAACAATAACCAGTTACACATTTGAAATGTGAGTGTAGAACGATCTTGTGGCATGTGGAAGCTCTAGGAGATGAGGCGTGTGTGGAGCTGTTGCAGTTGGCTGGGAAGCAGAGTAAGCTTGTGAATTCTGCCCTGACCAGGAGGGCATGGGATGGTCACCTTGCCAAGGTATACTGCATCTCCCTGCATCTCCGCATTTGCCTGTAAACAGGGATACAGTATACATGCTCACTTTAATTAGACGAAATAATAAAATAGGCAATTAAATGTACGCATCAAGCAATAGAATATTTTCATAATATACAATAAAATGGCATAATAAATGTGCATTAGGTTATTTCTTGCCTCACCATCAAAAGATATGTAGCATACGTGTATCTAAAGCTAAATTGAAATCTATAAAAAAATACAGGTAACCCAGCAAATCATGCATCAACATCCTTTGATTGATCGACGACTGGATGAAAGCCTCCCAAAGCTGTCACCTTGCCTCGATCTCACGATGCAGCAATCCATCTACCTCCTCCTCCATCTTCGTGGTAGCCAACCTCCCGACAATGTTCTTTCTTTTGGCTGCCACTCCATCATTAGCTTCAACCACAGAGTCTTCCCATCTAATGGTGTGGGCCCTGCCCAATCCAAATTTTCTGAGCAGTCAATATGATGTCTCAAACTTAAATCATTCATAGGTGGTAAACAGTTTATACATATTTAAGCCTTACCTTGGAGAAGGCTGGAGAGGGGAAAGTGGTGAGGTCAGATTTAATCTGTGCACCAGGTGCTGGGAAATGACCATCCGCCGTACCTCATCCTGCATGCAATCGGGCAAAAAGTAGTCAACATTTTTAAGTGAAATGGTAATGAACTAAATAGCCTTAAGCCACATACAAAGTGTTACTTTACATGCATCTAAATGTTAAGGTTAATAATAACATACATTGTGAAATAAAATGTTATGAATGGTGACCAGAACAAAATCTACTATATCAATCAATTCAGCAACCAAACTTGAGTTCCATTAAAATAGTAACCAAGATGTACATACCTTCAGTCTTTCCACATTGTCACTCATCTGCTTCAGCCGGGCTGTCTGCTCTAGCAACTGATTAGCTGGACTTGCTTTATCCACCGGTGGGATGATACCTTCTCAGCATAAGAACACAACATATGACAAGCCATTTGAATGTAACTGCTATATAAAAATAACGTTTTTTAAACAAGTGATTTTTTTTACATTCCAATGTTGTGGTAAGAAAGAGGTAGTGTAGCAGTCGTTTGTGCACTATGCTTTAAAGCTCATGGCTAACATCAATAGCATCAGTTTTGAGTGATGTTTTCAACCAGTCTGCTCCCAAATCTATGCCCCTATTACCAAGGTGGGCTGAAGAGGGCAGTAAACTATGGTCAAACCCATGACCGAACAGCACGGAGAGATTGTCAACCATTAGTGGATTTTTTTTTTCGATTTAAAGCTTTCGTGACTGCATTGATTCATATTCTTGGTTCTTTCGGTAAAGTCACAGAGAAGGGAAATTATAAAATAATACAAATAAAACATAATAAGATAAAGAATTTTATCTTCTTTCGGTAAAGTCACGTAGAAGGGAAATAATAAAAATAAAACATAATAAGATAAATAATTTTATCATATTATGTGTTTTTATAATACAAATAAAACATAACAAGATATAAAAAAAGTATAATTTTTTAAAATTATTTTTTTATTATTTCCCTTCTATGTGACTTTACCGAAAGAACCAAGAACATTAGTAGATTGACAATGAACTGTAAATTGTAATTGTTAAATAATGCACATCTGAATGAGTGATGGTATGAAAAGGCACACCTGGCTTTCGGTGTGAAATGTCCACCACACGAGCAGTGACACACATGTGCTGCAGTGACTCGAGCAGCTGGTTTGTCTTCCTGTTGAGGGCCAGTGTCGGGTCAGCGACCATACCTTCCTCCCCAGCCTGGGAGGGAACTGTTATCTTCGGGATGCGCAAGGGAGGCAGTGATGCCAGGTCCGATTTCATCTTCTCAGCCTTAGGACAACAATTCAAATGCACAGAAGTTAAAGGTATCATTCTCATTATATTCTTAGAATGCATGTTAAAAAATATTAGTCTCTAGCCCATACGTTGGCTATGGTGCGATAAAATAAAACAATATTTCCATGAAAAGTGTGCAATTCCATTTGCGGATCTTGGATAAAAAGTACATTGCATTGTACCTTAAGGCGATTGTTTTCATTCTTTAGGTGTTTGAGTGCCATTTTAAGGGCCTCAATTTGATGCAGAAGGAGAGGAGAATCCTTGACTTGCACAGGCCCTGAACCACCTCCCATACCTTGTGTTGGGGAAGCACCTACACACAATCGACATAAGCAAATAAGTTAGTAGTTTGTAAAAAATATTTCCCTCTTGTTTTTCTTCTGTAGAGCTTTGAGTATATAGTATGATATGTATAATGCAGGAGTATCATGCATGATTTTTATGGCCTTACAAAAAATCAGGACTCATACTTTGCAATGCAATTTGCACAATATTTTGACAGGCATAATTGTGCAAATGATTACACAGCACACATAGCTGCAGTCATTGAGAGAAAATATCAATAGGCGAATTAAACCTGAATATGACAGGAATAACAACCAAATAAAAAATACATTCTAAAAATGATTGCCTTGACCATTCACAAGTAAGGATAGTCTATATACTCTACCTTCATCCTCATCATCTGAGGGGCAAATAAAGGTGATGGGAAAGGCAGATGTAAAATGAATGTGATTATAATGGAGACATTTGACAGCACACAAAAAAATTGGTAAAGCAAAATGTCACTGAAATCCATGGTATAAATTAGTGGAAATGCTGGGCTCAAAAGTTGAAAAAAAATTGTTGAAGCTGTTAGCACAATAAAATCAGGTCAAATTAGTGAATCAGATTTTTTTCAATCATCAAAATAATCTTTCAACTTTGTAATTCATGAGATATTTGATTTCTCTCAATATTTCTCCTGTATTTTTTCCCAATTAGCCTCCAACAATTCACTTTCCTATTGCCCAAACAATGGTGAGAACATACTACACCGAGGGAGACACAAGCAGCATTATATACCTGTGGCTATGCCAGTAACAATAGAGGCGATCCCTGATGTCTGAGCACCACGCAGTCCCTCCACGGAGCGCCGAGGCATGTTGGCGAGCCTCTGTTTCAGCTCCACCTTTTCGGATTCCAGCTGGTCAATGTCAGCTTGCAGGGCATCCATTGTTTCCTCAAACTCCCTGAACAAAAATGTAAGAAGAAAATCCATCTCACAGCAACATTGCTTTTGACTGCATCTTAGAAATGTACCATCTGCATATATTATTGTGTATTAACATAAAAACACCATATTACTAGATTGCACAACAGCAAACAAAGTGAATCAGAGTTTATGATAGATCTATAGCCATACTTTTCTTTTTTCTTAAGGAGAGCAGTGATATCGTCCAGTTTGGTCTGGATCTTCTCGACCCTCTCATCAGCATCCTTCGACGCACTGTCCAGCTTCTTCTCCAAAAGACTCAGGCGCACATTGGCTTCACTCAGTTCCTCTCCCTGTTGGTAGGTAGGCACACTTGTGTTAAATCACAGTCACGCTTCCTTAAACAATTTACATTTGTACGTATGTAGAACTTCTTTTACACTATACGTAGCCAACCTTGCTAATGTTTGGGCTCTTAAACATGTTACATTATAATCACATTTACAAATCAACCTCATATTACCTTGATCTTTAGGGATTTCTTCAGCTCTTTGATGACAGTTTCCCTGTCCTCAAGTTTAAGGCCCAGGCCTTCGCATCCATTATCTCTGCCTTAAGGGCAACAGCTCTGAGTTCCACAGGATTTGCAGGCTGAACAATGGAGGAATATGCAAACAAAGATTAGATTATACAAAAAAACTAAAAAAGCTATGCTATTAATTAAATTAAATGCAAGTTCTCTACCTTGTTCTGATGTTTTTCAGCATCGTACTCCCCCTCCTGCATGGCTGTCGCCATCTTGTTCATGGTGACAATCACCACGTTACAGACTGACGTATGCACTCATATGGACTCAAGTTCTGCCCTGCATATATCTGCAACAGACGTAATTGATTAAATAATACGTTATTTTAAGATATAAAAATATTCAGTATTCACCATGCTACTCTTTATAGTGTTCTTGCTTTCTGTGAAGAGGGCTGTGGGCAAACCTGCTCTGAAGCCTTGAAGGCCAGCTCTTCCAGCCTGGCTGAATTTAAGCCCTCATTCTCTGTGAGTGGAGCAATCATCTGTGCAGAAACAGCTGCAATCTCCTGTAGCGAAGCCACCACCCAGCTCAGGTGCTTACGACAATCCAGCAATCCCTCGGCGACCTGAGATGATAAAACTCAAATTCAAACTTGTGCAAAGAGACGTAAAACAGCCTTTTTTCTACACTTTCCAACTAAGGTTGTAAACATTCATAGATTATCTGTCTGTAACATGGGGTCACAATATCTCTCATGAAGATGATCCAATGCAAATACACATTTTAGTTAAAATTAGTATTTGCATTAAAATTTGTGATGCTATTAGAAACTTATACTGTAAAAAATGAGCAAATGACACAAAACTTGCCGGTAAAAAGAAAAATCAGCCAAGACAATGACATCATATCATGAGCACGCTCAACTCTCCATTAAAGTTAATGTTGTTATTTTGCAACATCACATGTCAAATACAATGGGATGAACAATTCGTAAAATACAATACTTACAAGTATAAACACATGTTTGGAAAGCATTAGAGAATCTATGCATATGCTCGACATTTATTGTTTGCAAAGAATTTAGTAGCGCGATCGAGGGACGTACCTGTGTTCCATAAGAGAGTGCAGTTGGGATTCCTGGGGCATCTGTCCCTGGCATGCGGCGGCGGACCTTCTTACAGAATTGCCGCACATCACTGGTGGAGGTCTCCAGGTCTTTCAGAAGCAATGCAAATGTACTTCCTTCTTGGCCAGTCTGTTGGTGTAATGAACAAGTGTCAATATGTTCTTAACTCAGTGCATTATGACCAATAGTATGGAATATGTTAAACATGTAGAAAAGTCCTTTCTGGAAAAATGTTGTCATGCCCACCTGCAAGAATGACCTTAACCTGCCAACCTCCACTGCCATGCAGTCCAGGGCACTCTGTGACACCTGAGCACAAAATACAGAATAAGTCTCGAATCTAGTTTCTTAAAAAACAAAAAATTTGAAAACGTCTGTGAAGTAACATTATATAATGCAGGTCATTTACATTCAATACAACTTTTTTCCCCCTTAAAAATTTAAGAATCTAAAAAAATAAGCCGGTTAATATTTACCCTAATGTGGTCGGCAAGCTGAATCGTACAATCCTCTGCTTTCTCAGAAAGATGAATGCTGTACAGATGCTAATACAAAAAAAATGTCATTAAGCATATTAAATAATATACATCACAGCCAAATAAACATATTCAACATATTATTATCCAAAAGGAATAAAGATTAAATGACAAATAAAACGACAAAGAATACAATCCAATCTGTTTATAAATACAACTGAAAGTCATTAAGCATATTAAATAATATACATCACAGCCAAATAAACATTTTCAACATATTATTATCCAAAAGGAATGAAGATTAAATGACAAATAAAACGACAAAGAATCCAATCCAATCAGTTGCTAAATACAAATGAAAGTCATAAAGACAAGAGCCTTGTTTAGGGCACCAAAGCTAATGCTTACTTGGTAGTATTTGATCGCCTTGGTGAGAGGCTCCACATTAACAGTTTCATCCAGACGATCATTACGCAGCAGCTCAATGAGGAAGTCAAGCGAGCGCTCGTGGACACTCATCTCCGGGTACAGGCTTCCGACCTTCACGTACGTCTCCACGCTGCACTGGCTCAATGCCCTGTCAGAGAGGAAATAGCGAACACAATCATTTTTCGATTTAAAGCTTTCGTGACTGCAGGGATTCATCTTCTTGGTTCTTTTGGTAAAGTCACGTAGAAGGGAAGTAATAAAATAATAAAAATTATTTTTATGGTTCTTTCGGTAAAGTCACGTAGAAGGGAAGTAATAAAATAATAAAAATTATTGTTATTATTTAATTCTTTTTATTATTTTATTACTTCCCTTCTACGTGACTTTACCGAAAGAACCAAGAAGATGAACACAATCATGTGAAATGGAGGACCGTTAACGCTGCTCATGTTGCTGCTGTGTGCAGTGTAAAGTTGAGGTAGACAGCCAACGACAGTTAAAACAAGTACGTTTCGTATTTGTGCAGGATGGTCTGCAGAAGGCTGAGCGAGTAGACGAGACCACCCGTAAAGCTCAGCTGCTCGCCCTGTGCCCCACGCAGATTTGCAGACTTCATCGCCTCTTCATTCAGCTCGTACTTCTCTTGCGCTTGCTTACTGATCAACTCGGCCTGCACGCATGACAGATATACGTCAGAGACGTTTTACAAGACGATTGGTAGTTTTCTATGCATATATTCATATCCATAAACAACATGTAGCATCCCGGTGTCTGTACAAATGTTGTTACTTTGCAGATGAGCCTGGGAACAAGTAGCAGCACGAGCAGGCAGTCGTGGTCCCCGCCACGACGCAGGAAGGAGTCTGGCATGAATGACGTCATGAGGGACACGTGCCGGTTGGCCTGCTGCACCTCCATCTTTCTCAGGTCCATGTCGATGGCCTGATAAAGAAATTGAGAGCAGGTATGAGTTGTGTGTATAGATATGTTTTGTAAAATCACAATCCGTATGTTTACGATAAACAGTACCGTGGCAGAATATGGTAATGTTTTGACTAGATTACCTTCCAAAGGTGGCCATAACTTTGGAAATAAGACTACTATAATCATCGAATACATTATCAGTTACATAATCTCCACACATTTTTGTGGCATTATTTGACAATGTTTAGAAACGTTAAGGTTGGATTTGAGCAATCAAGTTGCTTAGTGTGGCACTTTTATACCTAGGTAATTTATCCGTGAATAAAATAAGTGCTAATTAATAAATACATCAGCATACAGTTTACATGTATACGTTTAAACATTTACCTTAGCATGAGCTTTGGTCTCTGCAAACTTGATTTTGAAATCAAACATCTCTGGAGGGGAGCCGTCTGCTCTCTCTCCGCAGATGCTTCCTGTTGACTCATCAACTCGCGGTTCACGTCCTAGAGACACAGAAACACATCTGCTCATGGAGAAAAGCATCCATTTGATATTTGAGAAAAGGTTAAGTTCATAGACAAATATTATTCAGACATTATACAGAGTATTGCAGAAAGAAAAGGACAACTTTGTGAAACAAATGTTTTTTATTCAAATGAGAAAAATAATATACGTATGTTAAAGCCTTAGCAGGGTAAATAATCTTCATAAGGTAGTAAAGGAGGCTTATACGTAGATTGGCATGTGCTGAGAAGAGATAATGAAGACGCAATTCTGTGCAGGGCAAGAGACAGAGGGTGAGTTGGAAGGATGCAGTGCCTTGAGATGAGGACAGTGGATGCGACGAGAGAAGAGGCGCAGGATTAAAGCAATGAGAAAAACATTTCTGAGCAGCTGACCCCATACAATATTAGGCCTTTTGACTCAGAAGCTGTTCCCAATGTTTTTAAATGTCTTGCAGATAGAATAGCTATTAGCTTGGTTTGAATGACTACAGCTACGACAGAGAAGACTTTGGCTGGGCTGTACCTCCAAGTGCGCGGTAAGCTGCCTGTACTTCTGCATGGTTTGCTGATAGTCTGCCACCATCTCTTGCGCTGCATCCACACGCTTCTCTGCCTCCCGCACACGAGCATTTGCCATATCGAGCTGCTCCCGCAGTTCCAGTTCTGTTTCCCGGCAATTTTCCTGCAGCTCGTCGTTCATGTCGTTGATGGCCTCCTGCAGAGATGCATTTTACAAAGGCATGGAAAGCAAAGAGAATTTAGCACAGTGCACAAAAGGCACAGCACCACAGCAAATATAATGTACCTGCATACATACTTAAGGGCATTTGTGTGTACCATTTGTGTGTATCCATTTCTGCTGATGCAAGACCGATTGAAACCCTCTAATGAGCACAACATAAAAATGAAGTCATGAAGCATTTAATCTTTTCCATCTATCAGCGTTTAACACAAAGTGCTTGACGAACCAAATCGTTAACATTTTCCATCAGCTCTCGAACTTTCTCCTCCAGATTCAGGTTTCGCTCCGTCAGGGTTTCCACCATGTCTTCAGCCCCGAGAGCTGCATCAACCTAAACACAAAAGCCAAACATTTTACATTCATGTGGGTCCATGCATGCGCCACAATTACCAGCATAATCCCGAGAGGATTTGCGGATATGTAGAGAGTGCAGCCACCTGCTCCTTCAGCTCATCAATGATGCCCTCTGCCTGCTGCAGCTCAGCCTGCAGCTTCTCTTTCTGTGCACGCAGAGTGTCCAGCTCCGAGTTCTTCTTCTCCATATGCTTCTGCTGTTTTAGGTACTCCTGCTTCTCTGATGTAGAGAGGTCACGCATCCTGCCAAGCACAGAAGCAGTTGGTTATGTGCACATGAAGCTCTGAAAATGTTCCACAAGCTAGCGCGCCTTCGTCAGCTACTGAAGCTATGACGAACATTTAAGTGTTAAAGTATAGTTCATAAACAGCATAATTTCTAAGTCAAGTGAATACAAATTTGACCTCGAAAATATTTCAATCAATATATGCCGCACATGATAAATGCATACAAGATCAAACAGAATGCATGAACAAATGCATATCATTAAATATTGAATATCAATATAAAAATTAACCATGGCTTTGCAATACAGATGTATGTTGAAGTTATTTCGCACCGCACGTAGTCAACTCACTTTTTCATACAACTAATCCATATACAAACATACCAATAAACACATACATGACACACAATTTTGCAAATAAAAATGTTACAGATGAAATTTTACTGAAATTTTCTTTTGTTTTACACACGGCATATATCTAAAGCTCAATTACCTGACCAGGGCCTCTTTAAGCCTGGCATTTTGCTCTTCCAGTTGTTTAACATGATAACTTGAAGCTGCCCCATCACTTCCTGAACATGAATAGCACATAGAAAGACATGTTTGAGTTATAAAGCTAGGTTATATGCTATATCTCCAATTTTTTTACATATGAAATACACAATGGATATTTAACACTGAACCAAAAAAAACACTTAAAAGTAGATTTGTTTAAATCTTTAAAGAATAATAGATTTTTATAACCTCGTTTGCACATGTTAAGTGTAAAATAGACGAACATAAAAGCACGATATAGGATTACGTTAATGCACAAACAATTCTAGGAGGATGAGCTATGGCACAAACAATTCTAGGAGGATGACATATGGCATGTTAACGCTTAAGAAGTATGCTTGTAAAAAATGACACAATAACAGCAATAAGCTAAACAAAATAAAACCAAGCACTTAAAAGGTCTCAAATATTTCTCTATTTTTAAAGCACGAGCCGCAGGGTTAGTGCTTTTTTAGAACTATACACGTTCCAATAAAAAATTTTTGTAATGGTATAAGCAGTTTTCATTGGTATTTGAACAAATATTTCATTAACTGCTAACAAAATTAAATATTAAACATAATTATTTACATATTAGTTTCATATTAAAATAATACAAACATGTGAATTGGTGCACTTAAGGCCAGACTTATTTTGGCAAATCTTCTTAATCATTACTATTTGTGAAAATATACTCAGAGTCTTCACCAACTATAATGGCCAAATGGTCAAGCTCTGAATATTGCTAAACAATTGTAGTGCTATACACATTGTAGGGCTATAATCACTGTCTTCGGGGCCTGTATGAGACCGATAAACACAGGAGTACAGTGTTTACAGTCTCCCTTAGAGTGTTGTACAGAAAGACCACGGAACCTTTCTCCTCAATCTCGTGCTTGAGGATCTCCAGGTCCATGCTGAGCTCCTCAACCTTCTCCTTGAGGTTCTCCACTTCCTGCTGTAGGGATTCAGACTTCTCTTCGGCCATCTCCTTGTCGAGCGTGGCCATTTCTATTGCGTCCGACACATCGGCCATCTCCTCCATGTACCGCTCCTTTGCCTCAATCACCTCCTTGGCCTCCTACTCGCATACAAATACCAGATGCAGTTAATTTGCACATGCGCACTCCTCTTCTCAACCCACTGCTAGATGAGGGTATCGCCACGCTGTGGTGATCATGGGTGTTATTTTAATCTCCCTCACCATGGTTGTTGGGTCAGTGGGATTGGTGAATTTTTGGAGCATAAAAGCACAAAACAACAAAGGATATTGTTGCAGTGCCATCTGCTGCCCACATCTGTAGCACAGCCTCACAGCTGCCGATGACAGCCGATGGTATTAAAACGTCTGTGCATGATCCAGTTTCAACTCTACTTAGCAACCCTGATTTGATGAGATTGGACACATTCTCGTTTGTATGGTCATAGACAGTTATTTACTTACCTAAAAACAATATTAGTTTTCAATTACACACTTTACATTTATTTTGTTTAAAACCTAACATTTCCAACACTGTATTTTTTTTTTAAAACAAGTCAATACGAACATAGACATTTATATATGCTTCTATAGTAAATATGACACAGGCTATAAATAAATAAAACACTGGAACGATCTTTATCCTCCAATATGGATGTGGGTAAAGTACAAAGAACATTGTGTACCATATTTAAACAACCCACGATTTGTGATGGAAATGAACACAACATTAATGCCTCTTGCTCACCCGCTTCGCTTCCTTTAGCTGCTTCTGTAGATCAGCCTGCTGGTCTTGCATTCTGCTCTTCCACTCTTGCAGCTGTTCCATCTGAATTTTATATTTCTCCAGCTCCTTGAGCTTTGCCTTGTCCTCATTGCGCTTTACCTTCAGCGTCTCAAGCTTCTCATCCAGGTCCTTCACCTGTAGCCGCAGACTCTCCTCCTCCTAAATAATATATGACGGTAATATGCATTCCGTTTCATGTATGCAAACAATTTTAACATCATCCGTCGATCACTATCACGTACAGACCTGTATTAAAATGTTTTATATATTAAGTTTACCATACTTCTGTCAAACTCAATGTTGATTTAGATCACAACAAAAGAACAAATAAAGTTGGGTCTACATTTATAGGAAAAACAGTATTTTCTTCTGGCATAAGGAGAATGACAAACGTGTATGATGCACCGAGAAAATCTATTTTGCATGACAAGTATTAATCCTTCAGTACCTTGCTAGGGGACAGGACGTGGGAGGCGACCGGCATGTTGAGTGGCGTGGTTGGCACAGGTACGACGGGGGCAGCAAGTGGAGTCTGTGCCGGGGTGCTGGGCTCACTGCTGCTCATCTCTCCACCCGATGCAGAGGCGGACGCCGAAGGCGTTGCTGAGGCTGCCCCGCTTGCCGAGGAGGCTGACATTCCCGAGATACGGCTCGGCTGCAGTTGAGGGAGCATAAAAGCTTGACATTAATCTAAGCTCACAGCAGTCTCTTCCTCTTATTCAATACAGACTTGAAAATGTTTGCATTGTGGATTAAGTCCCCAAGCAAAGTAACCATTACATCTACTGTGAGACAATATTTGATAAGAGGCAGATTTTGTGGTTTAGTAATTATGGGTAATTCTCCTGAAGGTTACTAAGAGGTGGCACAATCGTGAATATGACCAGATGTATAAGGTTCCTGTAATATAGATGAATACGTTAGAAAAATTTACTTATGTGATAGTGTTTCTGCAATAGCTGAATTCAAATCAGGAAAGGGCAATGATTGTGTGACACTCAAAGCCATAATTTTTGTTAATATATAGGAATGCATTGTCAATTGGAGCCAGTAACACGATGCAGTGGAGTAAATTGAAATACGTGTCTGTACAATGTATTCAGCATGAGTATTGTGTTAATAAAATATTGATAATTGCTGGTCTAGCAGGAGTGCTTTTGCCGCTTGTTGATGTTTATTACTGCAGCCATGGTTATTACTGCAGGTATATTAACCATTAAAATACGTGGGGTCTGCTGCTTGTGACATCATTTGCAAGGGTAGGCCATTGTGTGCCGGCGTCATGGTCCAAAGTTGATAAATGACCTGCAACTTACTCAATAGTAATATATACCACAATCATTGAGCCCTATTGAAAAATTAGCATGAGACTCAGTGAGGCTTCACTGGGTACACACACCAAATAATGCCTTTGAGAATTTTACAAATGCGTACATTTCCTCGTCATCCTTACATGCCATGAAAATAAGGAAAATGAGTGTAGATGATTATTAATGGTAGGTAATACTTATCAAAGTTAATAACTACATAAACAATCAATAATGCATTTGTCAGTGTCACGCACTTAAATATAAATGGCCTTGAGTTAGAACAAGTGGATATAATGTAATGCATGGAGAAACCAAGCTGAATTCAAACATGAAGGGAAGCAGTGGTTCAGCACTTACCGCATCTGCCTGAAGCGGCAAAGAGCCATAAAGAAAAGAGAAAACATAGGTCGCGAAAAGATGTACAACTCAGTATGAAATACAGCAAATCAGTGAACTTCTCCCAGTATGCCAGTACGTTACTAATATTCGTGTTAATGTGCAGTAAAGACATTGTAGACATTATGCCAAAATAAAAACGAATATATTAATTTGGAGCCGTTTATAATTTACAATTAAGTGTATGTGCTCAAAAGATAATAAAGTTAAAATTATTATTCAATCTTGAAATAAATGCAAACACTGCAATGTAATATACCCCATTGAACGAAGGTGTCAATATTGTTCCAAAATTAGATACTTAATGTTTCAATATTTTAAACGTATATGTTACACAAAATGAGGCATTTGCCTACTTTCATCACATCAGTATTTATCAGCCTATTGTACCCGCTGTGACATTGAATCAGAAACATGGACACCGACAAAGAAAATAGAACGGAAGCTGCAAAGTGCACAATTGATCATGGAAAGGTCGGTGCTTGGAATTACACTGAGACAAAGGAGGAACACATGGATAAGAGAGAAAACAAACACAAATTATAGACATCATATCAACTGTTAAGAAAAGTGGGCTTGGGCAAAACACATCGCTGATCGTCAAGACCGACGATGAGTTAGCAGACAAAGGGAGGGTACACGCGCGCGAGAGTATGACCATCACAGAGGTGGAACAATAAAAGCAGCTTGTGTGCAGGAGCTAGTTGGCTTGATGAATACATCAGGAGACCGTGAAAGATAGCGATTACTTGGGCAAGCCTTCATCTCGAAGTGGCTGATGTTGATGAGTAATGGTCACAAATAAATGTGGCAACTAGCAGTGGAATGAGAAGAGCACGGTGGAGACAAGTGATCTGCACTGTAACACCCGATATACATTGCCAGTGTTTTCCATGTGCGCAGGTTGGCTATTCAAATCAATTATTTGAAAAACCAAATCAGTCAAATATGTAAATACTCGACAAGTGACATCGAATAATCACTAAATATCAGTTGTACTAATATTGAATGTAGAACATGGTTTGGTTTATGTTGATTTAAAAAAAAATAACAACTATATATCATGAACCTTTGTGAGGAATACCACAATGCTAAGTGGTATAACAGATTTATTGTTCTAAAAAACCCGATTTTTTTTGTCTGAAACGATAGATCAATAGTAAGCGTGAAAGCTTATGTTACCACAACGCATAAGATAAGTGAATAATTTATTACATTCAGAGTAGTCAGCGGAAATGTGACAATGGTCACTCCCCAGTATGAGCAATCATACTTTTTAGCTTAATTGAAATGATTATATATGTCATGTCTTTCATAGACTTATACTTTATCAAATTTGTTATGAATAATTAGGAAACCTTTAAAGCAGCATTTATTTTACAGGCCTTTGTCAATCCTCTGCTGGATGAAGACCTTCCCACACCATGTTGGTCAATGGTACTGTTTGACTGTTTGACCATACTGCACCACACGGTTCACTGCAGGTTGGTAAAGGGGTCAACCCAGGATCGGTTCTGATGTCACTCGCCACCGATGTTTGCAGCGGATGGAAATCAAACTTAGTTTTCCAGTTTCATAGCGCAGCGTGTTAACCATTGTGCCGCCATTCTACACCACCGATTACTCAGGATTATACAGAATGTTACATCTTTTA